GGGGAGGGGTTGGTTGGGGCTTAACCCACAAAGATTTCAACCCGCTCCGTCCTGCCCCACATAGCAATTGTTTCTGTTTCGCTCACCCTGCAATTTTTTTTTCATTTTCTTATATTTTTGCTAAATATATTACTTGACAGCCCAATGCAATTCAATTCTAGTCCACTGTTTAATATTCCACATGTTTACTAACAACCCAAATCTATAGTAAATACATAATTTAATATTAACTTTTAACTAAGCTAACATAACTGATTCTAATATTACCTTAAAGTGCAGCAAACACAGATGTTCAGAACTAAATTCACCCATTGCTTTGACAAATTCTTTTTATGATGTGGAGTGATTAAATTTGAATGTTTAACTTGTATGCATTATTGCTAGATGTAAGGCTTAAATTAGCACTGAAATCATTTTGTAAAAGAAGAGTTGCTATTATTAATAATGAATTTGAGCAATCTAAATTCTGAAAGTTGAAGAGAAGCAGATTGTTAATTGTTAACAGTTAGAAATTGGAGGAGTTCTCTAAAGCGAGTCATCTAAAGAAGACGATTTTCAAAAGAGAGTAGCCATTTCTCATTGCCCAACTGAAAAAATGTTGTAGTTCAGTTCAACGATCACATTGAAACTGACAACTTCACTATGTCAAATCTTACCGGTCAGTAAAAATTAATCATTCTAGTTTATTGTCATTTTAATACAAAGTCATCAGAATATCAACACCTAATCCATTTTGGAAAGGTTGATTTGAGTAAATCTAATTCTTAGCTGGAGGAAACTCGCAACCGGCTCCACATCAGATATTTAAAACACTGTTTGAACCTGCCGTGCATAAGGTAAACCCCCCTCGCGGCCCCGTTTGATCCATATAAGTGGGCTCAATTCTTGAGGTAACTAGTTTGGCGGAGGGTAACCTGATTTCGGAGGACTTTTATCGAAAGCCAAAGTATGAAATGAGAATTGACAATGAAGATTTTCATTAAATGTGGAAAGATAAAATTTTCCGTGCATGTTTCAGAAAAATCCTTACTGTCTCTTCTGTTTCTCTGAAGCAGATTTAGCTTCGGTTCTTGTGTCAACCCAAGAGCGAAGTTTGGTTTGTTCAGGTTCTAAATTCCTCACTGGAAGTCAAACTCGTTCCTGAATTATTTTTGGTTGCAGAATCAGAAAGAGCAGAACGAGAAAGGAAAGGTGATCTTGACCAATATGAACGCTTGGACGGAGACAGAAAGCAAACGAGTAAATTGCTTGCTGTCAAGAAGGTCTTTACTGGAAACTCTTGAATATTATTCTCTTTTATTATAAAAGAAAAGTTAAAAGTTCATGAGAGCATGAGAAACAAGAATTGATGAACATTGCCGTATGATTCTTTTCAGTACACCAGGACAGCTGAGAGGGAAGCTGTGCTCATACGTCCAATGCCAATCCTACAGAAGACTATGAATTATCTTTTGAATTTGCTGGATCAGCCTTATGATAACAGCTTCCTTGGCTTGTATAACTTCTTATGGGACAGGATGCGGGCGATCCGTATGGATTTGAGGATGCAACATATTTTCAACCATGAAGCTATGAATATGCTGGAGCAAATGGCATGTAGATTTTTGCATTATTTAACTAAAGTTTGTTAATGCGTAAATCAACTTTTTAAGTTTGTTAATGATTGATGTTTTCACCATGTTTATAGTTATATTGCTTTCAAGCATTGGCTTATCATTATCTATTTTTCTGGGAAGCCTTTTCTTAATGAAACTTGTATCACCTTTTCAGAGGCTTTTATATGTGAACCATCTATAACTTATCCTGATGTTGAGATGTGCACCACGATACTGATGGATTAATCTTAGAAGCTATTCATCCTTTTTTTTTTTCTCGTCATAATCTAGTCATATTTTGGTAAGAGTAAGTCATATTTTTCAGAGCATACAACAACAACAATCCCAGTGTAATCCCACAAGTAGGGTCTGGGGATATTTTTCAGAGCATAAGATCTCATATTGCTTTATGTGGACTGGGGGATGGACAAAACTTGGCGTCCGTCTAATATCAAAGGTCAATTTGATTTAGAATTAACTAATGCATTATACTCCACAACCAATGCAAGTGCTCTATTATTGTAATCAGATATTATGGTTATGTAGTTTACCATATAACATTGTTTTTTGTTGACTCAACCAGTATGTATATTTTAATACTCAATGATCTTTATTTCCAGATAGTTTAGCCTGGTTGGGTTGAGTAAAGTGGCTAGCTGTCTTGTTTTAGGTGAGATTAAGCAGAAAACTAGCTAGAGAAGAAAAATTCTACTGCATGGAACCATATCATGGGTGTTGGAACAGTACTTGCTTTTTCAAAGGGCAAAATGTCCTTAGCTGCTTGTGGCTCTCTGCCGGTGCTTGTTGGAGGATGTTAATTTCTTGTTTTCCTGGATATGCATTGCTTTAATCCAATTATCATCTTAGTTTAAATTCCCATGTCAAAGCGCCTAATTTTTCTTCTTGACTTCAGTAAATGTTACTCAGTTTTATATAGATTCTAATTTGTATTGCCTATTGTTTTGGTTTCAGATAAGGCTTCATATAATCGCCATGCATGAATTATGTGAATACACGAGAGGAGAGGGTTTTTCTGAGGGATTTGATGCACATCTCAATATTGAACAGATGAACAAAACATCAGTTGAATTATTTCAATTGTATGATGACCACCAGAAGAGAGGAATAAATGTGGCAAGTGAGAAAGAATTTAGAGGTTATTATGCACTTTTAAAGCTTGATAAACATCCAGGATATAAAGTAAGTCAACTATCAATAAGCATGATTACCTTTTTTTTTTCCAAGTGTTTTCCTTGTGTTTAAAGTATGAGTTCTGTACTAGGTTGAACCTGCAGAGCTTTCGCTTGATTTAGCAAAGATGACACCAGATATGCGTCAAACCCCAGAAGTTCTCTTTGCTCGTGACGTGGCAAGGTTATTTCATCATTGCATCATTAGGAGACCATATACACTAACTCACCTGAGAATGTTTCTCTTTCATAATTTCAGGGCCTGCAGGACATGCAACTTTGTTGCTTTCTTTCGGCTTGCAAGGAGAGCTAGCTATCTTCAAGCTTGCTTAATGCATGCTCATTTCTCAAAGGTAGAACAGACACCTTCCTTAGTCTTTTAATTTCAGTAGTGATTTACTGGTACCTTCCTTAGTCTTTTAATTTCAGTATTTACTGACTTTACCGATCCTTCTATCCAAGTTCATATTGTCATTCGATAATTCAACCAATCAACTACGTCTCAGTTCATGAGTTGGGGTCTCAGTTATATGAATCCTCTATTTTCGTTCCACTCTATAGGGAACCATGTCATTCAAATTGACTATTGCCTTTTTATACAAATAATTCATTTGTTCTTTTGGCATAGAAAGCATTACTAGTCTACTATAAGTGACTTAAGGAAATAGAGAACTTGAAGTGTTTTCCTTTGTTTGACTGATTTTGTGCTCATGTATGTCTGGTTTTGCTTTCTGTAGTTGAAGGTTATGGATGCAAACTTCTAAATATTATACTTGTTCATAGATCTGCATTCTGTTCAAGCGTTTCATTTCTTTTGGTGTTTTCCCCAGTTACGAACCCAGGCTCTAGCTTCGTTACACTCTGGCCTGCAGAATAGCCAAGGAATCCCTGTTGCCCAAGTTGCCAAATGGCTTGGGATGGAGGTAATTTCTTAATATTTTTGCTGGCTGTGTTCTTACATACTCCATCTTGTTGCATTTTATGTGACGTTTGATTGGGAATCGAGTTTAAGGAAGAAAAAAAAAGACTTTTGGAACTTGTGATCTTTACACGCTGTAGACATTTGTGTGGCTATAAATCATCTCATTAATGGTAAATGAGAATTTTAAAGTTAAATTGTTTCTAATATAGATCAGACTAGAAAAGGAAAGTGTGCCACGTAAAATGGGACATAGGGAGTAACAGTTTTTTTAGTGGAATAACTTCTTCTGTTCCTGGATATCTATCAGGAAGAGGACATGGAAGGCCTTCTTGAGTATTATGGATTCTCAATAAAGGAGTTTGAAGAACCATATATGGTGAAGGAAGGTCCATTTGTGGAAGTTGACAATGACTATCCTGTCAAGTGCTCAAAACTTGTCAATGAGAAAAAATCAAGGACGATATTCGAGGATGTTTCGGCTCCACATGTTGAATCAGTGTGGGAAAAAGAGAGAGAACCCCTGTTAGATAAGGATCATCATAAAAAACCTACAGCTATTCAATTTCTCGAGCCTTATAGTTCTTCACTGGCCATCGAGGAGGACATACCTGATTATGAAGCTGTTTCATCTCCAAAAGATGAGACAAAGACAATTCCCATTACTAGAAGAGAATCTCATCAGAAGAATGAAAGTTCACAGGCTCCTCCTAATTATTCGGTGTCAAGTCTGCCGGCTCCTCCTAGTCCTTTGATATTCTTTCCTCATATTTCCCCTGAGACTCAGCAGCAAGCTATAGTCGGGAGAGCAGGAACACCTGAAGTGCAGCTGCAAGCTAGAGTTGGGAGTTCAGGGAAACCCAAAAGTAGCGAAGTTGCACAATTTGCTGCAAAAGGCATGACCGTTCAATTTGCACTTGCCAGAGATGAGCAGGAGAAGTTGCCAGTTTTTCCAACTCATTCTCTTGTTGGAGACACAGAATTGCACCACGTGTCAGATGAAGAGAATGTAGATGAAGAACTGGTGGTCACCAGCGAGCAAGCTGAAACTAATGAAGCAGCAGCTAGTTATTATGACAAAGAAGTTGCTGAGGCAAAACTTAAACTGATTGTCAGGTGCAGCTTGTTCTTCATGGACCTGATATCTGCTGCATTTACCCTTGTTACTCTGCTAATGTGTCAATTTACAGGATATGGAAGCGGCGTTCTTCAAAGAAAAGGGAGATGCGGGAGCATAAACAGTTAGCATCTAAAGCTGCTCTGAGATCGCTCTCTCTTGGAGTGCCAATGTGGCCCAATAGAATTGTAAGTAGGGACGAAAATCTTCTTTTTTTTTCTCCAGCTTTGGTCGCTTAAGTTTCTGCATCTGTGCTTTCTCATGATGGTCTTGGTGCAGCCTCAGTTTCCAGTAATAAAAACTCATCTATTTTCTATATACTGCATAGTAGTAAACAATTTAACTAAATCATCATGCTTTTTATCTCTTATTTTTAATAACCGAGAAATCCCAAGAGCCTGCTCGCGCAATTCAAAACTCAGTGGATTATGGGCCTGCTCTTACCACTATACCAACGAGAGGGGGGAGCAATTAAATCATGATACTTGTGCAGCCACTTTCCTTTTCTTTTTTTGGTTGAAGTCTGAGTAGGTCTTGTGTACATGTGAAGTATGGCTGTCCAACGTGACAGGACGGAATGGGACAAAATTAATGAGACGGGACGGGACGACATTTAGCCGGGACGGTGGCGGGATGGGACGAAACGGTAGGCCAATCCCATCCCGCTAACAAACGGGACGAGACGGTTTCGCGAGCCTTAAGTGGGCCGTTTTGAAAAAAAAACATTTAAGCATTAAGTTTGGCAACGACTAGTTTTTTGACAATGACTAAGTTTTTAAAGTTTGACTAGTTTTTTGACTTATTTAATAAACTTAAAAGTTAAAACTTATTAAATTATAAGGAAATTAAGAAACTAAGTAAAGAATTATTATAAAATATTAAAACAAAAAACTTGTAATGAAATACTCTAGTAATTATAGTAGAGTTATAATTTATTTAATATAATTTCAAGCCATTAAGTAACTAAGTGAGTGTAAGACAATTTATAAAAAAGTTAAACGCTTAGAGCCTTTTATTTTATTAATAGAACTTTCAAATCTCATATACAAATATAATTCTTTTGAAGAGCACCTAATCTACGCTGCCACCTTCTAGGAAGGGTTTTTCATCCTCATTTTCTTCGTCCTCAATAAAAATATCATTGCCAAATTGTCTTTGTAAGTTTTATGATCTAGTTCTCCGAAATTAATATTATAACATGCGGGAGGTTGGGAAAATGAAGTTTCATCTACATGAGTCATTTCATCTATATGTTTTCTAATTCTAGGAGAAGGATTAAGATTCGGACTAGGATTAGGATTACTACTACTATCACCTTTACTACTTTTTTTACTACTTTTTTTAAATAGGCCAAATACATTTTTAGATGCCATAATTTAAATACTAAATTAAATTAAAAAAGTTAACACAAAAATTAAACACTCAAATGAAATACGAAAATAGAACACGTAAAGTAAACACAAAAACTAAGCACTAAAAATGATATACAAAAGTTATATATTAAAAATTGGGAGATGGAACGAGTGCACCGTGATTAAATATTGAAACTTGAAGAAATTGCCCAAAAAATTGCTCCAAATATTTGACGAATTAATTTGAAGCTTGAAAGTTGCTCCAAAAATTTGCCCAAATACTTGAAACTTATCACTTGATTGTGAGAAAGTTGAGAGAATAATATAGATAGAATGTAAGAGATTTGAGAGAGAATGATTGATTTTTGTGGGAAAAAATGAAGAAGGATGGGGTATTTATAGTAAAGGTAGGGCTAAAGTGTAATTTAATAAACTTAGGGGTTATATTTGGGGAGGGGGGGAAGGCAGGGGTGTTCTGGGGGTGGGGGCCAAATATGGCCGTTGGGAACAACTATATTTGCAATGGAGGTCGTTGCCCAATGGCTATAATTCAAAAAAAAAAAATTAAAAAAAGATGCGGGATAGACGGGACAGGCAGGACGGGACGAAATGGCCATTTCACGTGTACCGTTTAACATGGGCCCATCCCGTTTAGAATGAAGTGGGTCGGGCCGGGCCGAGATACGGGCCGGGACGACTCGTCCCATTGGACAACCATAATGTGAAGGTTGAAAAATTGATGGATAAATATATACCATTCACATTTACTATATTATGATGTGTCTTAGTTAGTGTCCCATTTTATGGGACACTAATAGAAAGCAGAAGTAGATAACAGAATAAATAGAACAAAGAAGTTAATATTATTGGCAATAGTTTTGTGCAAGAATTTTAAACACAACTACACCAATAAAGTTGTCCGTATGGAGAGGACAATGCTCCAGAATAAAGTAGTTTTGATTCTTATAATGATACCTACACATTACAGGATCTATTACTTTTATAATAGGCTGACCATAACTACTGCATAACCTATTACGATAAAGATAAATAACTTCTAATAACCATAATAAAACTGCTAAACAGATAACTTCTAATAACTGAAAGCTTCAGGAATTATCTTCTCCTAAATTTCTTTGCTTCTTCTGGAAGATACGTGGCTTATCAGACACTTTGACATTTGCAGATCAAATTTATAAATTACCATGCTCTTTTTATATATTATATTTTGTTAAAGGTCAAATTTGATAATTTTGATTAGTTTGAATATGAAAATCTAATTTTTGTAGATAAATTTTGAAGTTTCATTTTGATAATTTTTATTTATTAACATTGATTTTGACTAGCAATTGATAAGTCCCCAAAGGGTCTGTGACATAAAATGGAAAGGATGGATGTTTGTTAATGGAGAATAATGGGTGATCCATCCCTTGTTTGCTTTTATAGGTGAGTCAGTAATTAACTATTACCTATTTAATCGATTTTAGGAAATAGTTGTTGGAGATGCTGAAATTTCAGGTAGTGCTGGCTCATCTTGTTCTCTCACTTTATTTTTCTATTTAGTGATGAAACTGAAATTTGGCTCAAGAGAACAGGAAAATAAAAAAGTGAATTTTGATGGGTCTGGTCTTTCAGGATGCATTAGTGTCCACTGGCCAAAACTTGATTTCTTCCTTTTTTTCCTATCTAAAAGTACTTGGACTCTCCCTTAGAATGACAAATATTCTCCCTCTTTTCAGTTCATACCAGTATCATCTGGATTACATACTCCAATAATACAGAATTTAAAGGGTGTATGGTGGATTAACTAGTCCAAAAGATATAGGACCCGGAATTTGATGCATCTATCTGGGTTCATCAGAGCATTATTAGACTTAGCAAGGAATTTGGAGTCAACTTTCAAGGCTGTGAAAGAGAAGCTTTGGAGCTCTTTTCAAATATCGACAACAAAAGGCAAGATAACAAAGGGAAATTAGAATTACAGGTGATGGATACTCCAAAAAGAAAAGGCGTCAATTTCGTAAGTTGGAGAACACGATTGAATTTTTAAATTTAAAAGATTGAGCATATCTAGAAACATTCTCTCTACACGTGTCCTCCTTTATTGGCTGACTTAACTTGGGAATATCAGCCGCCTCCCTTGTGCTTCCAAAGTCGGACGGTTCGTCTTCCACTTCTCTCCGGCAAACATCCGACAGACTCCGATGTATTCTATCTACCCACACCGTGGATTCAACCCACACCGGTACAATGAAAGCTAATTCATCCACCAAACGCTTCACTGTTGCTGGAATGTTGACCCTGTATAGAGTATGCAGATAGCCTATGAGATCTTGCTCTGGTATTTTCACCTAGTTCTAAGAAACCTCCCAGTCTATCACCAATCTCCTTGAAAACATTATCAGACCATAAGTGCATTGGAAAGACCAATAATTTAACCCATACATGATTCGGCCACCAATTTTTCTGGTGGCAGGTATTGATCGGCAACCACCACTCCAGATGAAGTATTCGATTTTTGGAACTCCAGCATCCCATTTTTATTCTTCCAGCCTCTACTCTGGATGGAAACTCAAATAGAAAGAACACCCATTCAACTCTTTAATTTAACACCAGCTGTAATTTTCCATGTAAATTCTGCCCATTTCTGTACCTCCCTTCTACTCGGTATCACTGTTGTAATGTTCCGAAATAGCCAAAAGTCACCTCTGCAATTATTCAATCCTGGTAAAAGTAGCTTATGTAGCTCATGTCATTTTCGAGTGAGGCAGTATTATTCTGCTACCTCTATATTTTGGAAGTCTGATGGTTCCAAATATTTTAGCTTCTTCCAGAACATAAAACTAGCTTCATGCTGCATAGGCTCTTATTACAGGATCATCTTATCTTGTTGAAAAGCTTTTCTAGGTTTCTTCATATGTAAGATCTATCACTTCATGGTTTAGAGAACTATCAGATTTATCCTTTTTGAGGGCAGAAATTAAAATACGGAACAGGTCTTGCGAGTTGCGACACAGTTAGCTTAGCATCAATAAGCTTTCTGTTACTTTAATCCTGCTCATATGTTTTTAGGATTACTCTATTCAATCTATAAAAAAAGTATATTAGATTTATCCTGCATTGAATTTGTTTGGAGGGTCATAACATTATAACCCAAACAGAATGCTTATTGCCTTATTTTCCTCTATATAAATATCCCTAAAAATTTCCAACCATTTGGGTGTAATACTCCCCCCCCCCCACACACACACACACACTATTATACCTTATGTTGTGCGAAAAGGCATATCAGTTATGAATTGCTTGTATTACCGTAAAGTAGGCCAAGGGTAGTTATTGGAATGAATTGAATCCCAACCAAATGCCATGGCAAGAGACGTCATCAACATCTATTCCTCACCAAACTTTCAAGCAAATCTCCTGATCCCAGGGTAGAGGCCTCTCTCTCTCAAGGCACAATTACACACTTAAAAAGATAAAATCAACAGAATGCCACCCGAACAGAATTGCTTTGTGGAAATCTCAAAATTTGCAAACTGTTTTTCATTTATTAGATGCTTTCACAAAAGCATGTGGTTTATCAGGTTATTTGGCGAGGTTGACATATGAGTTTCAAGATAAACTCAAATATTTTGAACTTCATTGCATCTTTCTTTGACTCCGATCTTGGATCTTTATTGTGAATCCCAAGACATCTGCACAATGTCAACTTTTTACTACACTGAGAATTTTTTATTTCTTTACTCCTGATCCATGGGGAGCAAAAGAGAGGAAAGGGAACAGAGTTTTCTTCCTCCACCCTGGAGATGTTCCATTCAGATGTGCAAATAAGCATTCTGCACAAGAATGTTGCCATTTCGCATACAAGTTTTTGTGTCTTGTGTCACTTTAAAGTGCATTATGTACATCGTCCTTGGGCAATTTTATGGCCAGTTTAATTTCACTGATATTTTCTACTGTTTCTCCTCTTTTTAGCAACATAGCACATCCGTCGAGTTCGACATTGATTGTGCTGTCTCAAAATGGTACCAAACTCAGGAAAGATCATGGTCAAGGCTGAATGTTTCAGATGTATTTTCCACCACACTCCATGAACAAAATCCAGCTGCCAAATGCCTTTGCTGGAAAGTAATTATATGTTGTCAGGATAGTATAAACAATCGAAACCGAGAAAATGGTCTGGAGAAGTTGAATGCTAAATCATGGTTGCTTTCCAAGCTCATGCCTGCCAGAGACCATGAAGATGATTTGCTGATCACATCTCCGGGCCTCTCTGTTTGGAGAAATTGGCTTCTTGACCAATCAGTCGAGGATCTAATTTGTTGTTTATCAGTTATCAAGTATGCTAATTTTGAGAATCTGAATGAGACAGTAGCAGGTGCAAGCGCTGTTCTCTTCCTGTTGTCAGAAGGCATCCCGTGGGATCTTCAGAAAAATCAGCTTCATAAGCTGTTAATGGAAGTACCTTCTGGTTCTCATTTGCCCCTTTTGATCTTAAGTGACATGTGCAAGGAAAATGCAGATCCTTCCACTATAGTTAAAGAACTGGAGCTACATGAAGTCCGTGAATCAAGACTTCATTCCTTTAGTGTTGTTTTCCTAAAAAACCAGCAGATGGAACAGTTGAATGGTTTTTTTAGTGATGAGCAATTAAGAGGAGGACTAAAGTGGTTAGCAAGTGAATCACCACCACAACCAGTTCTCCAGTGTGTAAAAGCCCGAGAACTGGTTCTCTACTACTTGAACTCTTTGCTTGGGGTTCTTGGTGAAATGGATGCTAATGATGTGGATCCAAACCACTGTATTTCAGTCTTTAATGAGGCCTTGGATCAGTCAATGAGGGAAATCGCTTCTGCAGCTCATGCAAATCCTACCTGTTGGCCCTGTCCTGAAATAGGTTTGCTGGAGGAATCTAGGCTTGAGTACAAAGCTGTAAGCCAACACTTGCCAAGGCTGGGGTGGAGCTTAGCTCCAAGAATTGAACCAGTTGTCTGTGCAATATCTGACTGCAAACTTCCATCTTTTCCAGACGATATATCTTGGTTACGTAGAGGTTCCGACGTGGATATCACCATTGAAAACCAGATATTACAACTTCAAAATTGTCTAATAAAGTACTTCACAGAGATTAGCAGATTGATGGAACTGCCACTTGCAACAAAAGAGGCAGTTGTTATGCTGCAGAAGTTTGTGCAGCTTCAACTCCAGAACTTCCGCTACTACATTGTACCAAACTGGGTTATGATTTTCCGACGGGCATTCTTTTGGCAGTTGATGAAGTTAGCCAGAGACGCATCTTTTTCAGTGTATACCCTGATACAGGATGATTTTTCTACTTTAATGGTTGGAGCGGTGGAACTTGAAGACTCTGGACAATCACATTACCATTTGTCACATCCATCTCTTGATGAAATGGTTGAAGTTGGACGGATGCCTCTTCCCAGATGTGCAATGCTTAGTGGACAGGGAAGAGCTTTCCAATCCCGTCCAGGTATGGCTTCAATTAGTGAAGAAATTCCTACAACTACTGGCGCAGGCGAGGAAATGGAGTATGGAAAGGATGTTCGACGTGATGATGAATTCATAAAAACCAGTTATAATACAATGACAGATATGGAACCACTGCTGGCCACTAAGAAAATAAAAGAAGCTGACGTACTAAGCGAATTACTTGAGAGGTGTAACATTAAGCAGAACATGAATGATAAAAATTTGTCAATATATTTCTAATCAATTACCTTTTCCTTCACCCCTTGAAAATCTGTTGTATGTGTATTATACACGCTACCATGAAAATCCAACTATGTATATGAAGGGTGTGCCCTTTTGTATTATTGGAAGGGGCATGGATTTTGCTCACGGTTAATTTTTAAAACGTGAAGGAGTCTTTTTAAGAGCTGAAATATTTATGCATCTTCCCCTACTTTATGTATTCTTGCTAATTCGAAGGAAGTCTTCACATCTCGAAATTTACCTTTTTATGGCGAATGCTTTCTTTTTGTTCATAATTTACCTTTCTATCTTTTTTGGGCTTCCATCTGCTGTTTTTTTTGGGAAACAACACTAAAGGAATCCTTTTACCATATGTGGGACAGGATTGTAATTCATAAGCTCCTTATTAATCTCTAACACTTTTCCTTGGTTAACTGGCACATTTTGGTTCACTATGAACTCGGTATGTACTATGCGCAAAAGATTTTTCCGAAGATGTTAGGTACGTAGGGATTCAAATCTGCTTCTGTCCATAAATCAAACTTCCCACAAGGAATATTTTTGTAAACAAATTAACCGACCAGTAAAATTTTCATACATTTAGGATGTTTTGTACGAAGGAAAGTATCTTTTGGAAATGTTTTTAATTTTTTCATTTTTGGTTGGCTTATGTTGATTTTCGATGATCAAACAATTTGTTCAGTTGAAATATCGTTGATTTTCAACTTTTATAAGTCAATTAAAGCTCGACTCTTGTTAGACCAAGCTCATCTTCATACATAAACTTGGGGTAGATATAAAAAGTGGAATCATTGGAATTTCACTTCAAAAACAAAATAAAAAATAGCCTCTAACTAAATTGAGGAAATATCTGATGATGACGAGGGAAATGACCCGCATATGATTATCACTGAGGAGGTTGTTGCATCTAATGGCTCTACTTTCAATACTGCATTCGGTTTCGGAGGAGGCCAAGCTAGACTGATTGCCTCTCATTTTGGCTCTCTTTTATGTTTCAATTTCACATGGAGTAATAAAACACGGAAGAAAAATAAAAAGAATCACAAAAATAAATAAAATAACAAGCAATCGGTTCGTTGTAAGCTTTTGGCGCCAAACAACTGGGCTTAGTACTCCTTTCGTCCCAATTCATGTGACATTCTTTTTTTTAGTCAGTCCCAAAAAAAATTTTTTTTTATCTATATTTAGTAATAATTTAACTTTAGATTTCTCATTTTATCATTAATAAGATAGTTTATAGCCTCACAAATATTTATGACTTGTTTTAGACTACAAGTTTCAGAAGTCTTTTTTTTTCTTAAGGGATTTTTACCTATGTATACTACATATGAAACTTATATACCTTCCCTAATCAAGTTTTAACTTAAATATATGGTTATATACAGTTTACCAGTTATATACAAAATAGTTTTAAATGAGTCTCCCTTGATTGTAGCCAATTACTTTAGTAAATCCCCAATCACAATACTTTTTTTTTCTCTTTCTCTCTTTGAAATCAACCCTCTTTCTCAAGGTTTTTTCTTTTAAAGCTCATGATTGTCTCTAACAATAGCGAAGAAAGAGATTAATTTTTTATCGATTTTTTCATGGCTGGAGTTTCGATCTTTTTTGGGCTTCCCCTTTTCTTGTTAGCGTACTGATGGCAGGCTAGCAACAAATGAATATTAAACAATAAATTTTAAAGGTGTTTGACTCTCTACCATTGACAACCATTAAAAAGATTCGAAGCCTTGATTTCGAATTCAAATTTTTCAAAAAATATTATTTGTTTGGATTGAGCGTTATTGCAAACGACTATAAATATTCTATGGAGTTTATATCATGATTTTGCGGGTATTTGGTGAAGATTAGATTTGATTTGGCTGAATTTTCATGTTAGAATTAGAAGAAGAAGCAGCAGAACACACCACATACAAAATATATACAAATCATATACAAAATACATACAAAGACATTGTATAAAGTTTGTATGAAAATTATATTTAAGTTGTATGATGTCAGTTGTATTTAAACATGTAAGAATAATGTATGAAAGTTGTAAACTATATAATTAGTTGTATGAAATTTATTTTTAGTATGTATGTTGTTGTAGATATATTGTTTTGGATTAAATTTATATGAAATTTATTTTTAATTTGTATCTTGTTGTATCATATATTATTCTTTTTTTAAAATTGGTAATTGTGGCAAAGAGAGGGAAGAGTTGCGCTAATTATGGCTTAAAATAGGTAACACACAACTAGGAGGAATTTTATTTAGATGGAAGGACAATTTGGACTTCATTTCCTTTAGTTACGCCCTTTTTCAAACAAAGAATCCCTAATTTAATACACTAATAATGAATTGTATATAAATTGTAAGAAAAACTTGTTTAGGACGGGTAATATACAAAATTTGGACAATTTGTGATAAAAATGTTTTAAATATTATATAGGAAGAAAAAAGTTATTTTCTTAAACTTTGTGCCCAATCCAACATCATTATATAAATTGGGATGAATGAAGTATGCTTTTATAAAAATAAAAGGAAAAAAGAAGTATACTTCCTTGTCACACACGAACATGATATTATTATCCATTGGAAGTTGATGTTAAACAACAAAAAAAAAAGGCAGCCCAAAAAGGCCGTAGAAATGAGATAGGACTTAGAGAGAGACTCTCTGACCACTCTCTATAATTATTTTCACTAACAACCCAAAGCCATCGTAGGAATAACGTCATTATCATTTCATAAAGTGGCATTTTTTATCGTTACATAACGATGAATTTAATAATACGATACAATAAAATTTAAGTAAAAATTAAAATAAATATTGTTTTTAAAATAACAATAAGATATAATACAATATGTAACAACCATCCAAGCAAAATGTATGAGGTAAATATGCAAGGATATGTGTGCAAGTACCACTAGAAACACTAGTTGAGACTGTGGTCATCATCGGGGAACATATTCAGCCTATTATCTATGAGGGAGAAGGAATCCTATGTAAGGATTGTGGGAGGATAAGCCATATTATGAACAACTGCCCCCATAAAATTTAACTAACTCTTTAGTATGAATCTCTAAGTAGCTGCACTCCGGCTACTACATAGGAAAACCAAGAATGATAGACAATCAGTTTTCCAAGGAGAAGAAGGCAGCAAAAATAAAAGGTAAATAACCCACCATACCCCCGTAATAATCCAAGTGACTCCTAAGACATCCAGGTAACATTGTTCAATGCGGCTAAAAGTAATTTTCTTGATACTCAGAAGTTCAAGTATAAGTGAAATAAATTGGGGAAAAATCATGAAATAGAACATATTCCTGTTTTTCAACCTACCGTGGATCCCAATGTTGGCCATGGGAAGAGAAAGATTCCCCACCCATTCCACAAATTGGTGTAGTTGATAAAGGGGAGACAAGATTATCCATTGGGAATGACTCATGAATTGACAAGGAGGGAAAAGATTCCTCTCTAAGGGCAGGAAAATTCTTACAAATGCGGGTGTGGAGGGTGTAACGCCTAACAAAATGGCAGCGCACCCCTACTCTGGAATAGGAGTGGCAAATGACGGGTCGGGTCGGATATGGTTCGGATCGAAAACGGGTAATGAAAAAACGGATCAATTATCCGATCCGATCCATATTTAATACGGATAAAAAATGAGTTAACCGACAGATAATATGAGTAACCGTATTATCCATGAATTCTTACATATGATTGTTTTGGGAGAATTCTTAGTCTCCCTAACTTGAGGAACCCTCAATTTGAGGCTTTAGAAATATTAAAGTTAGATCCATTGGTTACCCATTTTCTAAATGGATAATATGGTTCTTATCCATATTTGACCCGTTTTTAAAAAGTTCATTATCCAACCTATTTTTTAGTGAATAATATGAGTGGTTAACTGTTTTCTTTTAACTATTTTGCCACCCCTACTCTGGAAGTAAATTAACACTGAGCCTCCAAATCAAGGAAGGATAACTCTACTATGCAATAATCAATCCTTAGTGGGACTAGTGCACCCACAAGAGATGTAAAAAAAGGGCACCCCTCAGAGATAATTATCTCTATTCCAACACTTATTTTTTCTCAAACCAAAATCTCGTGGACACTTTTTTAACGAATCCAGATCATCATTATTCCATACCTGATGAAGTGATACTCCCTATCTCATCAAGAAAATCCCAAATTAAGGCCACATCTCCCACATAAGAATTAAGGAAAATATGGCCTCAAGTACTATCCCTCCCTGAATGTTAATTCACACCAACCATTCTTTCTCTCCATATGATGAGATGCTCGAGAGTTTCGTCGATGGCCAAATCATCCTCCGAAACAGAAAGGTCTCAAGCCCAGAAATTTTAGCTGGTAACTAAATCATTACCGCCATAACTTATTACCAAAATCGTGGTTGGAGGTGGCTCTGCAGGACAACAACTTAAGTTTGCACTTCACGGTATCTAACCATTCAATGACTCTCTCTCTCTCTAAAGTCCTCTCTTTTTAGCAAGAGTGGTAATGGAGGGTATGAATCAAGAGCTAGAATATTTTGGACAATAGCTATGGTTGGCTATCCTGCTTTAAGCACAATACTTTACAAACCAACAAAACCTGTCCCTTAAGAACTAAACATGCTAATGAGCCAGGTTTATTATTCTATGCCTTTTATTCTAGTGCTATCATTGGAGGTACCAACAATGCAACCAATCATAGTTTCATTTCTGTCTCGGTTAGAAATAGTGCTACTGCACTAGGATCCTACACCATCCGTATCTCCAGACTCACCATCTCTGGAGACACCTTTGTCTCCACTAACAAGCCGAAGTTGGCAGAGATAAATATACTTGAGCAACTCCAAAACTCAACATGGAGATTTAACCCTTCTAACAGATTTGGGATTCCAAGAACAAAGCCACTTCTGATCTAGGAAGGCCATAAAATAAAGTTCAAAGAACCTTTTGCCAAAATGCTTATCACATTATGCTCCCAAAATATAATTAAGTGTGCAGTAAGTCTACGAATTCCATCTAATACAAGCTCAGAGAACTAAATAGTCGTGATAATACCACAACTGGAGAAAGTAACACCCAAAGTCAAGGTGGAAGCCAAACCTCCTCCAACGGGAAAGGGAAGAGAGTAAAGAGGAAAGCCCCATCACCTCCGCAAAGTTTATTGATGAAT